GTTGCGTTTCCACTAGGCGTAGTACCGGCTAGCGGGTACTATTTCACAGCTTTTCTGGCCCCATCAAATCGAGGTTCTTAGCGGGCCAACAACCAGGCTGAGTCGGGCTGAGTATGCTAAACTAGAGAGAGAGAATAGCTGGCAAGGGGGCTACAACTACAACAAAATGAACATAGTTGACCGTGATTTAAAGGTGGGGTAGGTAATTTTGGAGAAACCAGCTTGAGTGCGCTAGAATTTGAAAATACACAGCCGGAAAAGATCTGACACTTCCTTACAGAGCCCCTCCTCTAACACACACAAACGCGCACCTGACCAATGAGGGCACGAGATAAGTTTGTGCACGAGATGGAAGGCTGACAGGCAGGTAGGCCATCCAGTTATTTTAGCCGGGCCGGCTAAAATGATTGGTCGTGCTTTTTACAGTACTACGGCTCCCACAGATGACATTTTTTATGGATTTTTTGTCAAAGCACTTAAGATATTCATTGCTATCGGGATGTTAAGAGCATTCCATGGAATATAACAAAAAGTGTATCTCGAGCCGGTTTCTCAAACTTACCTACCCCACCTTTAATTGTAATACACGTTTCAAAATGATGCCGAAGTAACAACATACTGATACCGGTTGTTAAAAACCATGAATAAATGCTTTGACAAGTCTGCAGACAAGACGGCAGGCGAAAAACCTTTTAAAATGCGTGTTTTCTAAATGGAGATCGGCTAAGCTAACGCAGTATATGCTCCGACCGTCCACACTCACAACAACGGCCTATACAGACATAAATAAACCAGCGACTGTACTCGCCATGACACAGACAGTCTGTGGTTTGTACTTGTTTAACTTTTGTCTAGTTTCTGAACAGATATGAGGAGCTGTGAGCTTGAGTGCTAACAGCTAACGGCTGATGTTGTTTTTCTGTGGTTCGCATTGAAGATTACGTCACGGCTCCGCCTACACTGCGTTACTATAGTTACTGCCCCAGCTACTAAACTGTAATGGAAACGCAGCATAAAGTGAGCCTGGCCTAACAAGGCCTAACTATACCTTACTAAGCCGAGCGAGGCCCTGCAATGGAAATGTGCCATAACATTATGATGTAACTAATTAAGCATGGGGGAAGTTCAATCAGAAATCCCCTCCACTGTGATTCATTCACAAATATCTCTCTCCTCATCACTCTCATTAGTAGTCATTTAATCATCAAGAATTTGCACTTTTCCTATGATGACAGAATAAAACCGAGGGATGGGCGGATGGATTAATGCGTGCACAGATTTTTGGGGAATTAAGATTTCTCATTGTGCAAATACAGAGAAGAGACAGGAAAAGAACACAGCGTCCTCTAAGTGATGATTACACGATGAGTACTGTACATCCTCAACTGGAGCTTGAACCGGGTGGATAGTTTCCTTGTAATTTGTCATTCTCATCCATCGTCTCATGCCCAGCTAGAGGATGTACCATTAATCCACGCTGCTTTAACGCCTTAATCCCGTTCATTATCGCTGCCCAGGTTCGGCCAAAGTAGCTCGGCTTTATGTCTTAGTTTCGCTGTCGCTGGGTTATGCCGCTCCTGTTGGTTTTGGAGGGAACACTGACTCACCACAAGTCATTTCGGCCTGGAGTTTAACCATCACTCAGGGCACTCTCTGCGGCTGCTGGATTCATTCGTGACCTCGTTTTTTTTCCGCAGGATCTGTCCCCTTTAGTGTGAAAAAAGAGTTATGTTAATGGCTGAATGCAAAATATGGGAAGTGATGAAGGCATGCAAGGGAAACCAAAAGGAAAAGCCTTGGAAAAAAAAGACAGTCCAGATATGTAAATGGTGGTTATGGAACCCCTTCGACATCCTCTGCAAACCGAGTTTTAAACAATCATGGTGTAACGGAACCGCTCAACATGTGCCATATTAAAATTGTGGTGAAAACAAATCACATTTCTGCAAGTAACTCCAAAGAAATTAAAAACGCCCATGTGAATTACATTTCATGAAAGTGACAGTATGTAATTATCCACTCACTAATTCCAAAGAGAACATTTTTTTGGAATAAAATCCTTCAAGAAGCTCTATTTTTAGACAAAATCAACACAGTGCTATATTATGCTATTACCGCTATATCATTTACTCAGAGCTGTAAGAAGTACTCAGATCTTGTACTTAAAGTGGACCTATTATGCTATATTTGAAAAATATATTGTAGGGCCATACCTATACAAAACATGTCTGTGAAGTTTTTTGCTTAAAATACCAAACAGATCACCCATTGTAGCCAGGGCCGGCTCTAGACAATTTTTCTAGGCGAGATCTTAGCTGGAAATATACAAGAATAGAAATAAAAATAAAATATAAAATATACATGCAGATGATATATATATATATATATATACAAATATATATATGTATTCAAAATATATGGAATAATAATATGCTCGTGAAATGCAACAACTTTTCGGTTTCACCAATAGGATTTCTACGGTCTTGGTCATGCTGACTCATATGACTCAAATGACTCGTAGGATCCGGATCTCTTCAATGACTGACTCAGAAGACCCTGAGTCCGTAAAATGATCCGGATTTGCCATCTCTAGCAGAGAGGTGGCAAAGTGACCCAAAAGAGACACACTACGCGTCCAGACCATAGGTCCAGACTGAATATTAATCGCGCATGCGCAAAGCCATTGCTGCTCCCGCCCTGGCTTGCAGTGTGTCTCTTTTGGGTCACTTTGCCAGTCCCAAGCCCAGATAAAGAAGGAAGGTAGCAATTCCATCCCACATAACAATTTTTTATTAAATGTGACTAATTCTTTAACAATACTGGACAAAATGTATGTATGTAATGTTGGTCTAGAGTAGACAAAGCATCATCAAGTGATGGCCAAATATTAAAAAAAATAAAAATAACAATCAACAGAAGGAAGTTCATTTGTAGTTCTAAACACATTAAGGGTGTTTTTTGCTAAATATGCAAATTAGGCGATGACGTCATTGAGCAACTTCTAGCTACTTTTAGGACAGCCAATAGCTACTTTCCTTACTATGGAGTTGGCAACACTGGAAACTCAGCTAAACGCTGCCGTGATTAAATGCCATATTATGTTCCCAACCACTTCAAGCATTATTTCTGGGGGGAGAGAGAGAGAGAGCACGCTCGTGAACTGTCAACGGGGGGGTCGCTCGTGAACTGTTAGCGCCGGTGTTATGCCGTGTTGTGCATGCCCAATGCGCCTCACGGGAGCACGCCACAGTGTAAAGCACTTCGCTTCGCTGCGGGGAAGCTTTGGCGCTGTTCTGAGTTTGTTCTAATCCGTCAAAATGATGGACTGCTTTCAGATTTTTCCGTCATTGTTAAAAAATATCCGTCATAGACGGAAAATATTCGGTTAACGCGACCTCTGCCCTGCAGTATACACAATCATTAAAACTAGCTGCACATTTACCAGCTTTGATAACACTTTGATGATCAATAATTATAAAACATATCATATATATTATTCTGAAATGGGCCAATCTGTAAAATGACTACTTTTGGTAGTTGAATTAAATGTTGATGCTAATACTTTTTCTTGAGTAACATTTTGAATGCAGGACTTTTACTTGTAATTGAGTATCTCTACACTGGTACTTTTTGTTTTACTTAAGTAGAAGATCTGCAAACTTTTTTCACCTCGGAATGTGTCCTTCGTATATCAGTTAGTGTGTGTTCCTAATATATCAGTTAGTGTGTGTTCCTAAGTATACAAAGAGGACATGTGAGTCAGCTCCTCTGCAGCTTATCATTGCTAACAGTGCCTTCTAGTGGTCGTCCACTGCAGTAAATCCTCTCTCTGTGGATCCTCAGCCTCAGCATGGTTAGACAAAATGATGACTTTCAGGGAATGACCGTGTGGCCGTTTATCAAGCCGTGAGTGGACAACCGATACAGTTTCCTGACACTGCGCTTTAACTTGAGGAAGAAAAATCTGCCCTGAAAAAGCTGAAGAGACGGGAATAACAGCTCCCAACCAACGCTGATTTAGAGTGCATATGTGGTGCAAGTTAGAGCACACGCTGAAGCAATCAGGCATTATTCTGCATGCAGGCTATAAAATAATAGAGCCCAGTTGCACTTAAGTTGTCAGGCTGCTGCTTCAAATCTCAAAGTTCGTGACATGTTTCTCCCCCCCCTTTCTTTCTCTCTTTCTTCTGGCTCTCTCTGTATATGTGTGGAGAGAGAGACAGAGAGACATGTTGGTGGAGTTCCCTTCTCACTACATTTGTAAAACAAATTATGTCCAATGGAAGCAACAGGTGCAGGATTTAAAGGTGACTTATAGCCCTGAGCAGGCATCCCTGTGAGTGTTAACCAAATAAAAAGCATGGAAAGTGTAAACAAAATAATAATTTGCAAATTCATGTTCCAGCTTTGTAAGAGAGTGATTCAATAATGAATACACATATGGTCATTCCGGTTCTTCTTTTTCTCCAACCATGAATGGATAAGGATATTTTTGGGATATTTTCTGACAGGCAGGGGCTACTTAGGAGTTCTCTCTTATGCATTTTACCTTTACTTATGTAAAGAAAAATTGGGAAATGGTCAAATTATTATAAATTTGAGAAGTAATTGTGATAATTATAGCCATTATTTAAGCTGCTTCTCCAGGAGAATCATCCCCCTTGTGTAGAAATAAGCATGTGTTTGACTTGTTGAAAATATAATTTCTTGCAGTGTGACGCACTTTAAAGCTCTACTATGAATAATATGAATCTACAGACAGTGGAAGCCTGCAGATTGGTCTCTATGCTGAGATGTGTTCACGATACTTTTTTTTACTGTTGCCTCTTGCACCTCGGCATCAGTTCAGCCTTCAGGGTGAAAGAGCGATCCTCCTGCTGCTGAAAAAAAAGTGCTGGCCGCCTGCCAAAGAAACAAGTGCCTCCCTTCCCTGCTGTTTAGCGTATTCATAGTTAGGGGTTTGGGCTCGGCTGTTTTTATAAAGGCAAGGCAGCGCTTCAGTTGATCAGTCTGCTCAGGAAACTTCTGCTGGAGAAAGTACTGGAGTCCAAAACCTGAAGAGGAGAGAGATTTTGTGCAGAGTATCCCTTCTCCTGCAGAGGACAACACCTTGGAGAAGAAAAAAAAAGCACATATTTGATTTTTTTGCAGGGTGCACTGCAGAGCCTGTAATTAATGTTTAACAGATAGCAACACTCTTCTTGGATCAAGACTCTTGGCTTTAGCTTTAAAAAAAAAAATCGGATTATCTGACAGAGGCATTGTGCTCATTAGTCTACTTTTCCCCCATCCTCTTCGCATTTGAGGTTTTATGCTAAAACTGAAGAACAATGTTTCTGAGTTTCTGCCTCTTGGTGACATTTATCTTGGGGCTGTCCGGGTGCTTGGGCTCATACGTGCCGTGCGAGCCGTGTGACCAGAAGGCGCTGTCCATGTGCCCTCCGGTGCCCGTCGGCTGCCAGCTGGTGAAGGAGCCGGGCTGCGGCTGCTGCCTCACATGCGCCCTGTCTGAGGGGCAGGCGTGCGGAGTGTACACCGGGACGTGCACTCAGGGGCTCCGCTGCCTGCCCAGGAGCGGGGAGGAGAAGCCCCTGCACGCGCTGCTCCACGGCAGGGGAGTGTGCACCAACGAGAAAGGATACAAACCTGCGCACCCGCCCATAGGTAAGAGCGCACCGGACCACCGTCTCCATGCATGCTCCGGATCAACTTGTGCAGCGTAAAAGTACATCATATTATGGGATAAATAATGCCACAATCTAGTTTTTTTTCATCTTAAAACGTTATTATTTTGCAGATATTACATTTGTTGTCATGTGGTTCCCTTCTTTCTCCATGCTGTCTGTCAGAGCGCGTGTTTGACAGATGGTTTGAGGTGCCATATGATTAACTTTTATCCATTGATTAAACTGGCTGCAGGAGCTTATTCCGCCTCAGAAAATGCACCTCAGGTTCATCATCAAGCTGTAACCCTGTTGATTTGGTTGTCGGTTATGAATCATCACATTAGAAACACACAAAGTGGATAAATAGTCCGGGTGTGCGCACGGTGTTTGTGGTTAATCTGTTGCGGGCGGCTGCTCGCTCCGCTGCGGGTAAAACGCATGAGGTGTCCCGGCTGATTTGAGCCTTTGGTGCGGGGCGGCGGCTGTCAAACTGCGGTCTACAGAGACCCAGGAGATCGTAGCTGACAATGATCCGGAACATATTTCCATTTTAAGGCAGAGCCGATCATTACACGCATTTTTCTCAAGAGGTTTGTTATCCTGACGCCAAAAAGGTCTAAACACTAAAGGTGTGATAGTGTATTTATATAAAGGATATTAAAGGGGAAATTGTTGGAACCCCTAAAGTAGAGCTCATTCTGCAAATTGCCGCCTTTTTAATATCCACTCGTGTAACAAGTGTCTGTCAAACCTCACTATTTTCCATCCCCGCGCCAGAGCGCATTAGGTTTTTGTATATCTTTCATTTCTCGCCTTTCAAATATCATTCGCACCTTGAGACATGAAGTCTACAGAGGCACGAGAAGAATAAAGAGTGAGTAGATTAACATTGAAAAGAAAGATGCCTCTGCGTAGTTGAAGCTGAATTCAGATCAGATTTAGGTCTGCAGGTCGGATTACCTCTAAATCTGTATGCGTGAGAGAGACGCGGGAGAAAGACATGGAGATGTTCAGACAGAAAGAGAGTGGAGGTAGCAGCTTTGAGTGATTTAAGGTATTTCTCGGTGTAGCGGAGAGCTTCACTGTCACTCAGACTTTTAGCAGCTTGTCAACAAGTAGATAAGTAGGTGGTAACCACAAAGGGTTTGGCTACATGCCTCATTCTATAAAATGGGCTCATTTTGGCTGTTGACAGAGTCATTAGGCCATTTGCACCCAGTGAGCCGAACACCTCTCCTTGTAATGACATTACAGCACAATGATGTTTGTCTGGGACTGCCATTCTTCCAATTGCTCGGAAAAATACAAATGGGAGCTAGCAAAGCTAAAAAAACGGATCATTCCCAGTTGTGTGTGTGTGTGCTCGGGCGGGGCTGTGTGGGTGTGCATTGTGTGTGATTGTTGTGAATGATGACACCTTGGGCAGTTTTGTCTCACTCCTGCTTTGCACACACACACACAGAATCTGACTTCTTTGTTGGCCCTCAGAGGTAATCAGAGCATCTTTTCCTGCCTCTGGCGCTGCATTCATTGCATGGGCGCTCAGTCACAACGCAGTGATTCAGCAGAATGCCTCTGGCTCTCTCTGTCTTCCCTCTAGGGCCTTCTGTCAAGCAGCTCCGCCCGACGGGTACTGGTGAGGTGAGCTTCTGGTTTCCTGTGGTGTGGGGTTGCAGCTGTCTCTGTGTGCTTTACCAGCTGAGCAAAGCCAAACACAGGGAGGAGGAGCTCAAGTGTCCGCAGCCTACTAAATATTGACTGGGGCAGCCAAACAATGGGAGAGAGGAATCTTTGCTATCCTACAGCCCCAACCCCCCTCCCTTCTTCACTTGTAAGAAAAAAGAGCCCAGGCCATTTCTCTGTGTCCCAGCAGTGCATTAATTTACGTTTTGCTCTTGGACTATGACGAGCCCAGGGGTTGCTTGGATTTTAAGGCTCAGGAGGTGGTGTGTGCTGTGGGGGCACTCAGACTTTGTTAGCCCCCTACGAGTGAATCAGACCCGGGAAAGCTTGCCAACAGATATGACTTCATAGCAGCAGGCCCCTCGTCCTTCAAGCTTCTGAAAGGGCCCTATGTTTTAACGGATTGCTCTGTGCCAAGAAACAAAAGATGATTAGGGAGTGGTTCCAACTCAAGAATACTCCACACATACAGGCAGAAATACTATGCCCCTTATTAGCATAGCAACTGGAAACCTGGTGCCTTAACTGACAGCTTTAATACTTTACATTTGTCTTGGCTCTTTACATGTACATTTTTAAACTTGTTGCCAGACAGTTTTCAGACACATTTCCATTGGTATTTACAATCAATCGAGTACATCAAGCGACTGCAGACTTTTCAAGAGAACTCTACATATGTATGGCCACACTGCCTTGTCATATCTAAGCAGCATACAGAATCGCTTGTCATCACTTTAGTTTAGAAAGCTCTTTAACATTTAGAACCGCCATCTGCTTTTTCCATGCCTGCAGCCTCACCGACGCAGCTGGTTATTGCGTCGCAGCCGAGAAACCGAAGCCAGTGGTAAAACGCTGATTTTCTCCGACCGTACACTCGGGCTAATGACAACCAGCCACCGTGCTCCGGCCCCTGTGGACGTTGCGTGCTCATACAGACATGCCACATTAGATATAGCCAGGTCACGTGTGGCCCCAGCTGCCTGACAGCTTCATGACGGGCTCATGCGAAAGGAAAGACTGTATGTGGCTTTCCATCCGTCTCACCTTGAACATCTGAGATAGCGCAGTGAAAGCTTAGCATGCTGCAACTGATCTGTTGCAGGTGCTTGGGAGAATTATTAGAAAGGTCACTTTGTCGAGGACTTCAAGATAGAAAAGAAGCATGCAATTGGTGGAAAATGCGACGCCAAGAAAATAAAGAGGACCTGGTTCCTTAGATGTGACATTGATACCATTGTAGAACTGCTTTTGTCTGCACATAGCATTTAGATGCATGGCCATAGGGTGTACAGCAGTAGAGCTGTCGCTGGCAAGCGCATAACCTTTTTGGCACACTTGCCTGATTTCTCCCTGTAAAACTTTACAGTGGTATTTGTACAGCTTATTGGTCACTGACACCTAGCCTGCTGGTGGCACCAGCTGTGGAAGAAATCAGCACTCACTGTAGTCTTTCTACGCTATAGGAGCATGTGATTCAATAAGCACAGGGATGGCCTCATGCTGGGCTCACGTGTTAACCTGACCTGAGTACTGTAACCCCGTAACCAACACCTTAAGGGCTGTTCTACAAAACTAGTTCCAAAAGCCAGGCTTTCTTTGCCTTAGCTAGCTCGAAAAAACCTAAAACTCTTATCAGAGATATTGGGAGCTAGGATCGTTGGTTCTTCGATCCTGATTGCTGTCTACTTTCGATTTAAAACAATAAAGTAAAAATATGGCAGGCTGATCATTATTTTACCACTTGATTGTCCCTCATTGCCTCTCGTTCATTTCTAACGTGCTAATGCATATTCTTCAGCACTTATACTTTAAACTTCAAACAAAGTATCAATAGACTAATCCCTGCAAACCAGGACTACACTGATGACTGTTCATCTGGGTACAAACATCTAATCGGAAGGCATGGGGATGACGGGTGCATTATCATTATCGAAAGACTCCAGGTTCCATTTCAGCATCAACCACATGTCCAGAGTATCTCAAGGTCAGAGCTTGGTCCGATGCTTGCTACTAATTGATTCATGATTCATTCACAATTTTGCCAACTTTGAAGCTATAGTCTCCCTTCGCATGGCAAACAGTACCACAAGCACCGGGTACAACGCTTTAAATCAAGCATTCTCTGGTTTAGCTTGCCAGATCTTTCTCATCTAAGTGCCCAGAGTGACCCCTAGAAACCATCCGTTTGCCAAAGTCCAAAGATGGCAAACATGCTCTTAGTCATTAGCATGCACGCTTGAGAAGAACTTTGTAGAAACCAGGCCAGGCCGGGCGTCAGTTGTTGAAAAGAGAACACAGTTGTTTCCTGGACTCTAATGTAGGCCATATTTGAACTACATGATATGCAGTATTGTAATTCCACCTTGGTCCACTCAGATGGCATAGATTCATCAAGCTAACGTTCGCCATATCCAACACTGTTGGTATGAAGGGCAACCGTGGTATAAGTCTCCATATTGAGGCAAGGCAGGATTGAAGGCAAGATCTAAAAGTTCTTGTAAATTACAACCAGAAGTTCTAAACTCTCGCCAAAATATATTTGTTATGCCACTGGAGGGATAGAACATTGTTGCACCCAGCAATTGTGTTGTGGTGAAGTTGACCCAAAAAGAGGTTGTGTCCATCCATGTTACTTTAAAAAAACAAAACAACATTGCTACTGTAGGAATGTACAGTAGAAGAAATATGCACCTCTCCCTGATTATGTAATTTTCACATGACCGGGTTGCAACATGAACCAAGCTTTTATCAGCGGAAGCTGTAAACAGGTCAGAAAGTTTGCTTACCTACATCAGCATTTCCCTCTTGGAAAGATTTTGCATCCTCTCATAAGTCCTGTTTTGTGATTTACAATCCTTGAATTGTTCTTGTTGCTATTTATACCGTGCATTCAGAAAAGCAGGAAACTTTTTGATTGCAACGAACATATTATGTGTGCACAATACCATGGGAAGAGTTATTTCCTGCATTTTTCAGAAGCTGCCGGAGACCACGCACTGGGTCCAACAACTGAGATTCCATGGCAACAAAAGTACATGAGGGTCAAAAACATAAGTCCCTTGCAGTCGGGGGTGATCAAAGATGCAACTCATGGACACAGCATTTGATAAAGCCCATATTTTCCTACATCTCCAACTGGTTTGGAATAGAGTCTGTCTTCTCATGTAACCAGGCTTTGTGCACTGTTGTCAGATGTGCACAGGGTTTATCTTATCTGTCATGAAAATGCAACTGGCCATCCATGCCGGGACTCCAGAATTGTTACTGTCCTTGTCATTGTATCTGCAAATTATGCTGCTACTGAAGAGTTTTAGCAAAGGTTACTTTTACACCATGTTTAAAAATCCTCTAGGACCTATATTCCTTTGGTCATTGGGACTTGACTTTTGTGCAGCTGTGAATGCATCCTCTGTGACTTGCACAACTCTTCTGGTTTGTTCACGCCTCCTTTTCTGCTCTAGAAACTGCAGGGCTATCAGGCCATGACCTTGCTTTCAAATATTAAGTAGCGGAGGCTGTCTGAGGCGGAAGGATGGTTTACTCATGCTTCAAGTGACACAGGCTCATTTGTTCCTACATTATCTTGTCTTACCCCCTGTTGAGATTAAACGGCACATCTATTCAACCGTCTCTTACGTCTTGTAAAGATGTAATATCAGATGCAAGCGCACTTAATCAAAGGCAGGGTATAACAACAAGTGTTGTAATGGTTGGAACTCTAATGAAAGGTGGGATAATCTATTGTCTGGTAATGCTTTTTTTGCTGTATTGTTAAGATATGGAGGAGAGGAAAATCTAAAGACGAGGTAACTTATCTTTCATGCCTGGACTGTTGCCGGTAAGAAACTTGGGATATTCATGAAGCATAATTGTGTGCAGATGTTAATTTTTAAACAGAGAAGTATCAGGTGCACCTCCTTTGGCTACTCTGCTCCTCTCGTCCTAATGAAATGTTTAGCCTGAGCAGAGAGGGGAGAGAGATAGCAGCTCAGCTTTGGGCTCAGCTGAATGGCAGAGCTGCACATGACTCGGCTCACTTGGCTCCTGTCCAGCGTCTTGGCTGAGTTTCAGGAGTTAAACACAGACCCTCTAAGCCTCCTTTACAAGCTGGGTACCCTGAGCATGGAAAAACTGAGTTTTTGTGGCTGCGCCGGAGAGCCCACTTCAGAAAAGATGAATTTGGTGATTTTGTAAGTGGAGGAGAAAAAAAGTCAAACATCATTGTCTTCAGAAAAGCTGCTTTGTTTTTAAAAATCGAGACAAAAACCCTTTTTCTGTCCTTACACCATTCTCAAAGTGAGTGACTTGTAATATGATAGAGAAATAGATAGATAGAGACATTATTAATCCCAAGTTGGGAAATTGTTTTGTCAGAGCAGCATTTTGACAGTTAATGTACAAGAATTACAGAAATGTCTTAAAAAAACTAACAAAATAAACTCATATTTTCAGAAGACTATCTAAACACTATAAAATATACAGATTATAAGAATACTCTCGAATATACCAATCTACTAAACATATAAAAATAGTGTACTTTATACATAAGAAAATAGTTTGCAGTAAAATATATCCTGTGAGGTAAGGTGGATAAAACTGATGTGGCACGGCTGGACCTTTATTAGTCTGGCCATTTATATGCTCAAATTAGATTACAAATGAAGCAAGAATGCATGTAAAAAAATAACGCCGCACATATCTTTCGACAGCCGAATATGTGGCATTTTAATCAAGCAGTTATTGGACTGGACGGCTGAAATGAAGAGTTTTTCCACAGTGGTCACAGCCCCGGCGTGCATCGGAATGCTTGTTTGACGTATTTATTTATAGCGAGTAATAGCCTCGTAGTCTGAGCGGGGGAGACACAAGGACATATCTAAACACAAACCAAGGCCTGCCAAGTCATGAGTTGTGCGATTAATTTCAAAGAGACGGCAGTTCAGCGCAGAAGCCAAAGACCCAATTCTGGTAATCACCCTGCCCCCCCCTCTTCCCCTCTTCCCCTCTTCCCCTCCCACAGACTCCAGACGCTCATGCTGTGTCAGGCTCTTTGAACATCAGTTTCTCGGAGCCCGTGTCCTTGTTACGTCTCAGTGCCTTTCTCTATGGTGGCTGTGTACTAACAAAGTAATGGCAACAATCTTATTACCCGTGTTTCTCTTTCTCGTCCGTATACAAGTATGGGAGTTGATTTGTCTTTCAGCAGCAGTTGGCCTATAGTCGGTAGCCAACATTCCTCTCTGGTTCAGTGCCTCTGGCCGTGTGCACCATGGCGGGTTTCCTTGTCAGATAAAAATAACCAGGGTCATCCACTGGCACCGTGGCTTCAGCCAGTTGGGGCCTGGCAGAGTCCCCACAATAACTCTGTACTTATGGTACAGCTAAGCCAAGGGGGGGGGGGGGGGGGGAAGCTCAGGGCTTCTTTCTGTGCCCTCAAAGAACCTCTGGCTGGGGGTCCAAGATTAAGAGGCTGAGCCCCAAACATAGAAGTGGGGGGTGGGGGGGGGGGCGGCTATGTTAAGGATAAAGGACCTCAACCTGTAAACATCCTATCAAGAGACTATAGTGCCCCCTGGGGGAGCTGATATTACGTCTAAGAGGCGCATAAATGTGAAAGCATTTATATGAGTCCACGGAGCAACTGGATTTTCCTCAGCTTGACATTTGAATCAGTTTAATGTGGGCCACGTCGCTGCAAAGTTACGACACTCCGAGGCCTAAGTCCCTGTTGCAGTGTTCCAGATAACGTGTTAGCTAATCTTCCAGATATTCCAATGCAACATATGATACAGTTTTCCAAAGTTACATGACATGTCATTTGTTAGACACTTTTATCCAAAGCGACTTACATACATTCAGTTCTGTGGACAATCCCCACAGGAGCAATTTGAGGTGAAGTGTCTTGCCCAGGGACACAACGACATGCTGACTGCAGTGGGACTCGAACATGCTATCCCCTGATTCGAAGTCCAGCACACTAGCCACTGAGCCACAGCCTCATAGTTAGAGAGATATGTATGCTTACAAATATTTGGTATATCTGTGTTTATGTGCGACCTTAACTGACTTCAAGACCAAAAGGAAATCTCTAGTTTTTATGGATGCAGACCATGAGTGGTCTTACATGGAGGGAAGTTTAGCATGACTTTTCAGATGTTTTAAGAGGTAGAGTAAGGAGATTGGGAGGTAAAACTCCTGTGTGAGCTGTAGGAGTTCATCAGCTGTCAATTTCCCCTCCTCTATAAACAAATGGCAAGCAACAGTTGGTGGCACAGACCCTGGGAAAAGCACCTGAGATTTATCGTAGAGGACCAACTAGCTGCAGAACCTTTTCTAAATTATGCAGATAGCATTTTTTTTAAGTGACTGTTAAACATTGTAAACATAAATCCTACATCAACATTCTACTGGTTCCTCGTAATACTTAATTACAGGTCTATGATGACTATAATTAGTTAAGACATTACCCTTTCCAGAGAAATCTTTCATTCCTGAATTTTATGTTCTTGTTCAAATAAAATTGTAAGACTTGTTTCATCATGAAATAATGACGCTAGGGATTAAATAAACGAACACAGGGGAAATTCCCAGCAAAGTGGGGAACAGCTCCATTTTAAATATAGATTTAAGGGTTTAAACAGGGAGTTTGGTGTTAAACATTGTCATGGTTCTAGTCAATTACAAACTTACATTTTGTCAATGTTGTGTTTACAGTTTATGGAGATTAACGTGAGGCAGTTTTATTAAATCCATTCAAACCCCTTTTTAATTTCCAAAAGAGGGCAGGCACAACAAGCCAGCCAGTGGGAAACACTTTTCATATTATGTTTTATACACATATTAACGCAAATGCATTAATGTAAAGCTGAAGCTTGGTTGTGGGTTTAAAACTGTGACATTAATTGACCGTTTTTTATTTGCTCCGCTGCAGATCGTGAGTCTCGGGAGCATGAGGACACCATTACCACAGAGATTACAGAGGAGCTGCAGCCTGCTAAAGTGCCACTCCTTCCCAAAGACATTGTGAACAGCAAAAAAGTCCTCGCGCTGCGCAAGGAGCAGAGGAGGAAGCTCGGCAAGCAGCGCTCCATTGGCCCCCCCATGGACTACTCCCCTCTGCCCATCGACAAGCATGAGCCTGAATTTGTAAGTTTTCATTGTCAGTTTGAGCCTTTATCATAATGGTGTAGGTTGAACTACTTTGCAGACTCCTAATAGTAGTATCTTAGCAATGAACGCCTTCATTGTTATATCTACAGTATAAGTGCTTTTAATTTGAGTTTTGAATTAGTAAGGGTTTGTTTCATCCCCTTTGCTCAGTATTTGTAACCCAAATCTGTCTTTCCTCAAAGGGTCCATGCCGGAGAAAACTGGATGGGATCATTCAGGGAATGAAGGACACTTCTCGTGTAATGGCCCTGTCTTTGTACCTTCCCAACTGTGACAGAAAAGGTTTCTTCAAGCGCAAGCAGGTGGGTTTGCTTCAGAAAAGTCTTTACACTTAAAAGGCTTTCCAAAATAGTTTTGGATTTTGCATCGATATTTGTATTTACAAACATTGTTGTCTTTTTTTCACCCTCTTTCCAAGTACTGTACCTAAAAGGTCACACCAGCATTTAAAAACTGCATTTAAAAAAAATGTCAGTTAGTTTGCTTGCATTGGCAAAGTAAATTAACTAAATTGTTTGTTCTATTAAATGTTGGTCATTGACCTGTTAGAAACCAGTTAAGGAGCTTCTTACCTTGTTAGCTGACTGATAGTTTGCTAGCAAGCTAGATTTAAAGAGCTTTTGTGGCCGCCATTGTGACTAAGTGCAAACATGTTGGTTAGCTGGCTAGCATGTTAAGCATTAGCCTGTTAGGTACAAACGTTTAAAAACTAGCAATTCAGGAAGTAACTAAAGCCACATTTCCACTGCATGATACGACTTAGCTTAACTTAACTCCACTAGCTATTACATGGTTCACCATAAGCAAAAGTTGTGTATACTCCCTATTACTTCTTTGCTACCATCTCAGTCCAGTCTCCAAGCAAGCTTTGTGGATGCCAGATGGTGAAGTTTAAAGACTGCAGACCACCAAGTGAAACTTCACTGGCTCAACCAGGGCCAAAACTCGCCAGTTCTGAATAGCCAAGTTACCACCAATAGTGATTGGATTGAAGATCTATTAAAGGCAGTTTTCATGGAGCATAGCTATAGCAGGAGTACATCAATAGCAATAAGGACATAATCCCCAATAGAAAAAAGGACCTGGCACAAAAAGTGAGTTGAGTCGAGCGAAGCAAAAACCATTCAGTGGAAACGCCATATATGCTACCAAGCTACTAGCAAAGATGTGCAAATAAACTTTGCTGCACCATTTTCTAGATCTTTACCCTTTGCACGTTTTCTAACATTTTCACCTCACTACATCACAACTATAATTTTGTTTTCTGTCCCACAGTGCAAGCCATCCCGCGGACGCAAACGAGGCATCTGCTGGTGTGTGGACAAGTACGGCGTTCAGCTCCCCGGCACAGACTACAGCGGCGGGGACATTCAATGTAAAGACCTGGAGAACAGCAACAACAACAACAACAACGAGTGAAAAGGGGAGGACCATCCTTGACCCCCACCCCCCCGAACCCTAACCACCACGTGACCCAGGGCCCACGCCTCCCCTCTGAATCACATCTGTATGCTCCGCCCTCCATTCACTTCAAGATTTTTTCAAGTTGAAAAAAAAAAAAAGGAAGAAAAAAATCCAAACGAAAGAACAGGCTGAAAAAAAGACACCTGTATTTGTTTTCTTTTATATTCTTGTGTTGACCAAGTACTCATCTCTGAATGAGCGGAACAGTCCCAGAAGATTTACTCGATCCCTTGACTCTTGCCCATGGGACCCCTTTGTCTGCACATTACGGATATATTTTTATGGAAGCTGGGGGTTTCAATACTTGTATGATGTAAAATTATCGCAAAATCATTGTGAAGAAAAAAAATGTATCAGGCACATTGGTTGAAAACAGATCAGTTTTAGGCTGTGCAACATGATGCCACTGTGGAACTGAAAATTGGCAGAGTAATTGGGTTTTATTTGAAAAGGAACAAATAATAGATAGGGATATGCTGTAACAGTTGACTCTATCTGGGTATGTGGTTCTGTCAGAGCACTTATGAATAGGGGAACCTGCTTAGATATGTGTAACTTCACAAAATGATGCGTGCATGAATGCGTGGATGTGTACAGTGCGTGCGTGTGGTATGTATCCGCCTGTGTTGGTGAATGATGGAGTGAGCCTACTATGAAAAGAATGTCCTTTTTTTTCTTTCTCTTTTGTTTGATTTTGTCACAACAAGTATTGCCAGCGCTTGAAGTGGTCTCGGGGCTGGCCTTCTCTTTAACCGATGTAAAGTTTGTCTCGGGGACAGTGATTGGTGGAAACAAAAGAGTAAAGCAGATTGTCACAGATGAACCTATGTTAAGTGGCTCTTCGACAATGTAGCTAGCCTGATATGCCAACTGTGCCTATTGAAACAGACACTGCCATGCAGGGCGACACAGAGCTCAGAGTCGGGCCAGTTGCTTCTCTGATCCAGTTTTGTGAAGTGTAGTTTTGTATGGTTTTTGTTTGTGCTGTTTTCTTTGCCTTCAGTGAAGTAAAGACCGCCCACTTTTGAGCCATGTTCCTTATCAAGTGGTTTCCCCTCAGTACGGCTTCTACAGTGTAACCATGGTGTATTACTTTTAAATATAGTTATTGAATGTTGTTTTTTTTCCTGTAGAAACATAGTATGACAACAATGTAATTGTGCTTGGAACAAAAAATATTTTAGCCTGTAAAGAATTTGAATAGGTCCTTGTAGCCTTGTCAGGAGAATGACCCAGAGTCTTTAGACTACAGGGGCGGTCAAACAAGCTAACACTCTGCAACCCTTTGCTAACATGCTTCCATGCTTAAGGCTATATATCTAAAGGGAGCAGGATTTAAGTAAAAAGGTTACAGGTTATAACAGGGTCATTAAGTAGAGTTGTTCTCTCTCTGTGTGCAAGTCACAGTGCCTTCCTTCATGCAAATACATTTAAATAGTGACGTGAAAGTGACATGGATATCAAACGGGGCAATTTCCTCTTTAGGACAGCCAGCCTGTGCCAGGGCTGATACAGCGATCAAGAGGTCTAGGTTTTAGTTCTGGTTAGAAGAACAATGAATGTCCTGTAAATGGCGTCAGCAACACATAGCAAATCCATTAGTAATCTCTGTACCTCGGGGCAATTCTGGATAAGAATGATGTTTGGGGAGATGCTGTTAGCACACTCAGTTAGCCTCCCTTAACTCTTTCTTTGACAACCAATAAGCTATGATTCTTGCTTTTTTCATGTAAATGCCAATGTATATGATTGCCAGAGAGGGGAAGCCAATGGATGTTAAATCAAGTATTTCAGAAATGCTATGTACATCCTCAATGGTTCCCGGTTGTGAATATATTATCAAGGTTCTTTGCCCCACTTCCAACACCAAATCCCCACTACCACTTTCGAAAAAAGAAAAAAAAGCAGCTTGCACTTATTTCAGTTACTCATTATTGATATTGACACACAACGACGTCCTTAGATGTGGTATCAAGAAGTTGGTGGAACGGAAAAAAAGTTTAAAGAAAACAGCCACAAAAGCTAAATGTTGTGTTATCTTGTGCTTACCTTTTAAAGGTGGTGCTTTGAGGTGATTTTTGTCGACAGGGGCTGTGCAGCCCATGCCTGGGACCTCCAATACAGCAACATCCTTTAGGGAAAAATAGATTTAAAGTAACACGCAGCTAGAGATGTTCTCATGGCCAATTGCACAGAGAGTTGAGATAAAAGAGACGGAGGGGAAAGGGAAGAAGAAGAGTGAGCGCCATGGGCCTAGCCACTTCCCCGATATGGGGTCACCAATTGCATGACATTAGATACAGTTAGCAGGACAGTTGACAGGAACCACGGAAATCTGGGGAATACAATACTTTAACTAGGAGCACTTTGATACTCTTGAGCGAAAAACAAGGAAATATCTGGGACCGTTCACTGTCCGGATCAATCATCTGTGTGAATACTTCAATGTTCCATGTGTTTCTTTAATCTGTTGTTTGGAATGCAGGTGGAGGTTCAGGCTTAAAAAAGTCTAATAGTGACTTCCTGTTCCCCACGCCTGTTTGCGAGTAGTGACTTCCTTAGGTTTCTCATTTCCTACTTGGTTTAAACTCATATTTCATACTTCTGTAGTACAGTAACAACAATACAATACAGCTTTTTTCTGAGTACATAACACTTTCTGGATGTAATGAGTCAATACAATTGGTTTTCATAATTTGGTGATCACTGGCTTGTGAAACGGACCCATCGGTGGCAGGAGGACAGTGGGAAATAAAAATGGTCAGTATTTGGAACTACATAAAATGAATAAGAAAAAAAAAAAAATCTCAAATTATTAAAGTGAATATCACTGTGTAATATTTATTCAACTTGTAATTTATGTACTCTTTTAACCTTTGTCTTTGTTATGACAAAGCATTTATTTAAATAAAGTTATGTATTCATTTAAGAACTCTGGTGAGGTTTCTTATTTCTGTTGGTGGCTTTTTTTCAAGACGGGCCACTGAAATGGCTTGAAAAGTACAGGAGTACAATTATCCTGCTAGTAAGCACTGACTAATCTCTGAGGCACGAGCTGATAAACCTCTTAGACATAAGTCTGAGACACCCAGGCAAGCCCACAAGGATCTCATGCAGCATGCAGGATGTGACTTTATAAAGCCTCGCCCGAGGGCAAGTCACCTGGTTTTCAACACCATAGTCAGAAAAGATTGCACAGGAACAAGGAAGTCATTTAACATGAGTTTGAACTTCAAGGGGGGGGGGGGGGGGGGGGGGGGGGGGGGGGGATAACATCTACTGGGACCAGCTCACTATTCAAATGACTAGGAAGAAGGGATTTGTAGCCCTGGGGGGAATTCATCATGTTATGGAAAACCTTTATTACAACTTAAAGGCAGAATGGACTCCTCTGAGGCACGTCCATTCATAAAGACATGCACTAAAGCCTAAAGTGCATACATAGACACAAGGTGTGGAGGCAGAAAAGCTGTAGAATGTCTGGTAATATAGCTATTGATGATATGGTAAGGCTAAGGTAAACCCACTCACAAAGCCATATGTTTGCAACAGTGCATTAAGGCCATTGGCTTGGAGAAGAATAATTGCAGATCCGGGGGAAGGGTTTCATATTTTTATAAAAAACTCACACATTTTAGAGAAAACAAATCTAATATTCTCAAGGATTGTGGTGAAGTTTCTTTCCTTGAGAGAAATACACAAATGTTATGACTTTGATATCAGAAAAGTTTCGTCGTTTTTACTTATTTTAATCTATGAAAATATACAAGTTATAAGAATTGAATTTAGACTCTGAAAGTTATCCCCCCACCTTTGTTTCTTTAAAAAAGCACCAAAAAATGTATTACTCTATACTGTATATCTGTTTTATATATTGTCCAAATATCCATTTAAAAAAATATGTTGCATGTAATGTACAATATACACAAATGATATCAGCTATCTATTTTAAATTCCTTCAGCATGCATAGACACGCTAACCCTAAGGATAACATTTGGAAGGGATCTAGGAATCTTTGTGTGCATCTCCACAGGGGGATGTCTGGTAATTTTTCATTCCTGTATGGATTCCAGGAAGTGACAGAGTTGGACTTTTCTTTTTGGGGGGCCACTAAAGTCTTTCCCTGGGGAGCTCAGGACTTTGACCAACTCCAGATGTGGGTGAGTGCAGCGGGGCATGAAAGGGTGGAGGGCCCGGCAGACCCTGAGCAGCGAGCAGATCAAGGCTGCCGTAAAGGTTGTTGTGGTGTGCGTACGTGCAGAAGGGAGGGCACAGACTTTGACTTCGGGGGAGGAGGAAACATGTGTAGAAGATTTGATTTGCAAGGCAGTGAACATGACAATTACTATTTGCCTTCAAAGAAACTGACAACTGCACTTAGGACTTCAAAGCATTTATGCCCCTTTTATTACATAATTAGGCCAACAACGTCAGATGGCTCCATCTGACATCGACTCACGCACCTCACTCCGTCAAAACCCCAGTCCAAATGCCGCATGGAGCGTGTTTGTGCCACGCAGACCTAAACTTTTCTCTCCCCTCAGAATTTCTGTAAATATATGAATAAACAAATGCTCAGTCTGTAAAATCACATGCATCAGATTTGTAGATTGTTTCATTTGCTTGCGCATCGATTTGCCCGTGGCCCATATCATTAAATGTGACTTTTAGTAACAATGCGTTTAAAGACATCAGTGTACAAATGGTATGCAGATGTTTACACTGCATAATTGGGATCTTTGTAAATCACTGCTTGTGTTTTATACTATCTCTTACAGGGGTAATGGTTGCTCATTTCATCACTGGGATGGAGATGAAAGGAGATTCGAAAGAATGTACAGCGCTCCGGAGTAAATCACATGACTTAGCGCTGGAATCCTCCGATGCCGGTGGTAGTAGACGGCAGACAAGTGGCTGCTAGTTTTCATCCAAGCCCTTTCATCAAAGATGGACTTAAACCCAGATCCCAAATGGAGGGTTCTTCAGCGTGGATCGGATGTGACTGTGAGAACCACAACTGCATGTTAAGTAAACCAACTTGGAGATTAAGATTTGACATTCTCAGTGGCGTTTTTATATGTACAAAAGTGGTGGGGCACGAACAACTTGTGTAGGCTATGTATAAGCTTCTGGTGCTTTTTTAAACACGTAAACAAATAGCTGTAGTCTATCCATGGTTCCGATAGAGAGGGGGGGGGGGGGTCAACAAAATATATGACATAAAATGAACTTACCAAAGCTGAAGTAGATGGTCAACTTCATTAATTTTCTTTCCGTTTTACTGATTTTAATCGCTATACGCTGCTCTCTCTCGTCTCCTCTTCACCACTTGGCGAAAACTACACTTTTCGCGGCACACATACTTACAGCCAATCAGCTCTCTGAATTATGAGATGACGTTTGGTGGGTATGCCAGCACTATGCCCCACTGGTGATTATTTTTTTGCCGCACACATTGAATAGAAAAATACTCTGAGCATGCGCAGTGTAGTTTTTACAGCAACCATTCATTTCTACAGCAGAGAGAGGGGCTTGCCCCACATCGCTCAACACGGCTCAAGAGGCACACTGTGGACACTAATTGGAAGAACACAGACTAAAACAGCAATGTACAGACAAATCAGATGACTAAACATGATCTTAAAATATATTTTAACATATATTTATTTGCATATTTTTTGAATTATTATTTGCATTACTTTCTGCTGTCACTAGGTGGGGCTGTCTAAAAACATAAAAGGAGCGTTTACTATGAGCGTGTAGGCCAAAATTCAAACTAACCTCGCACACACACTACATTACATTACATTGCATTTAGCTGACGCTTTTATCCAAAGCGACTTACAAAAAGTGCATTCGACCAAGAAGATACAAACTTGAAGAAAACAGAATCATATAAGTACATCAGGTTTCATAGAGCCAAAACATTTCAAGTGCTACTCAACTGGCTTTAGATAAGCCAGTCCTTTCTTAGTATATAAGTGCTTTGTTAATAATTGTATTGCTCGAAGTGGAGTCGAAAGAGATGGGTTTTTAGTCTGCGCCGGAAGATGTGTATGCTTTCTGCTGTCCTGATGTCAATGGGGAGCTCATTCCACCATTTTGGAGCCAGGATAGCAAACTGACGTGTTTTTGCTGATGGGAACTTGGGTCCCCCTCGTAGTGCAGGTGCATCGAGCCGTTTGGCTGATGCAGAGCGGAGTGCACGTGCTGGGGTGTATGGTTTAACCATGTCCTGGATGTAGGAAGGGCCAGATCCATTCACAGCATGGTATGCAAGTACCAGTGTCTTGAAGTGGATTCTAGCAGTTATATCTCTCACAGGCTCCGCCCTCTACTGGACTCTACTGGACTCTATGGGTACTACCTTATCCTGCGTGCATTCTCCCACTGAGACTTCTATAGACGTAGCCGGCCTAGGGCGGGCCTACCTGAATGCGCGCGCATCACACCGTATAAAAGGAGGCCTCGCCTCCTGACTATCATCCTTTTTCTCTTCAGCAAGCGGAAGTGATTCCACGAGCTTCGAGACGATTGAGAAAAAGAGAATAAGTGTAGGACCTGCCCGAAATGCCCAAATCTAATTACCCTTCTGCTTCACATCCTTGGGGCCTGACCACCCGGTGGGTAATATGGGCCCGACGCCGACATGCCCAGACTGCCAGATGATCCCGCGGCTCACACGAGAGCATCGTGGGCAGCACTTCCTGGCGAGGGCTACCCCGCAGGAAGAGTCGTAGGATCTGGAGCTCGACGTCGTGGACGTGGGCGATTCGGGGAGCGAGGTGATGTCGTCCCGGTTCTCCCTTCCATAGGACCAGGCGGGCTTGGTTCCGATGGAGGACGAGGAGGACGCCTCTCTGACCGGAGGTCCAACTCTCAGGTCTGCGCGGATCGATTTCCCGGCGGTGATGACTCTGGCGGCGGAGCGTGTAGGCTTACCGCTCCCCCCACCGCTGCCACCGAGGCCTGTAAACCGCCTGAGATTTACGGCCCGGTGCGTCCGGCGCAGCCGACCTTCGTTTCGCCGACCTTCGTTTCGCCCCAGCTGCCAGAGGTATGGCGGTGTGTGGAGGTGAAGGCCCCGATAGCCGCCATGGCGGGTATCGTTAAGGTGGTGGATCGCTCGGACACGACATGTCCAGGTGTGCCCCCCCCTCGATGAGAGCCTGGCGGCCCATCTGCTTCCGCGACTGGTTGGGCGGAGGGTAAATGTCCTCTGCCCCCGCTGCCCCGGGACCGAGACACCTGGGGTGTTTATCAATCGCGAGTAAAGCTGCTGCAGAGCCACTATTTCAAGCATACTACGTCATCGAGTGCTGCAGAAGTACTGTTCCAATCTCCAGCATACTTGGAAATCTACCGAGCCCGGCGTACTCCGTTTGGAGAAATATCGAGGCTGCACATGAGTAGACTCCGCGGTCTTAAAATCCCCACAATGTTTTGCGCACGGACCAATTTCCCCAAATCTGTGGCGGAAGATGTAAGGCGGGGCCTCTCATATGACGCACACCTGCACACTTGCTAGCGTGTTCCACACTTCGTATTCCGAATGCCAGGAAGTATTCTTGACTCGCTTCTGAAGCAAGATGCTCGGCAGACATGTGCTACCAAGCAAGCGTACTCGCGATTGAGAAACACCCCTGGAATATCCAGCTTAGCCGCATGCTACCGCTGGCTCCTCCTTAGGCCCCGCTACGTGCCCCCCCTCGCGTTGCCATGCAGGGGAGGGAGCGTAGTGCGACAGTGAAGCGGAGGGAGAGGCGCCGGCACGGGGGTCCCGTAGCTGCGGCGCCCTCCACCTCTACGGCCCACCCCGTGGCACCGGCATACCGGCAGTCACGGGGAAGGGCTGCCCGACCGAGGCAGGCTCCGCAACAGCAGAGAGCACCCGGGTGGGGAGCTCCATCTTCACGGAGTTGACTCC